AGTAGTAGTAGTAGTAGTGCTAGTACGAGCATTAACACGAGAACCAGTACCAGTAGCAGAAGCCTGAGGCTTCCTACAAGGGTGCATTTGGCGTCCGATAAGATGAGCTTAGAAGCACGGCAAGCCCTAGAAGAGGGTTTAGGGTTTGGTGTTTAGCCTGTTGCAGACAGGGTTTAGGGTTTAGGCTACAACCACCCTTATCAAGCGGGGACAGGCAGGGGCCTCCTCTTCAGCTCCGTGTGATCCCCTGAAATGATGTCAAGGTAGGTCATAACTGGAGCGACGGTCTTGGAATCAGAGTGGCACCTTGTTTTTATCGATGCATCGTGTACTTTTCCATCCCTAAACCCTACCGCATGAACCCAAAACTCCAGACCCAAACTCCTAGTTTTTGAATTTACAAAAGCCCGCGTGGCTAAAGATTGAATGCCTTCTCCTTACTTGATACGGCCATGCCATTTACTTTTCAATCGGCGCCGAGGTGCCTCGTGCGACCTCGCCTATGCCTTCCGAACTGAGCCACTTAGCCAGGGTTAGCTCTTGAAACGGATCACGGGCTGAACACACAGTATCGGTACTAACCAAAGGAGCTATAATGCCTGCACCTGTATTTGACGATCTCGGTCGCAATGACAATAGGAGCAGAGCCACGGGGGAAACGCAATCGACATCAATGCAAACAACAACAAGAACACCAGCAAGAGCAGCAACACCACCACCACCACCACCACCACCACCACCACCACCACCACCACCAGCAACAACAACAACAACAACAACAACAGCAACAGCATTGCCAACAGCAGCAGCAGTAGCAACCGAAGCAATGGTAGCAGCCGCAACAACAGCAAGAAGAGCAGCAACAAGCGCAACTTTTATTGGCATGCATCATTGTGAAGTGTATGCCAAAGAAGGCTGCTCGTGATGACACAGGTATAGCGCAAAGCATACTGTTTCAGAAGATCGGGTCGTATTCGTGAGATGCCTTGGCGCACGCTGTCTATGGATCAGGTTTCGTACTGGTGCCATGCAGTAGCGCACTCGTGTTACGATGATATCCGGAAAGAAGGCGCCTTCACATAGCAGTCTGTGATTGCGGCTAAGAGCGATTGAGGGAGGTTGCAGAGCAGGCTGAAGTTTGATGCTCTTTGCCTCTTAGGACTCATTTCAACTGCCAGGATCTTGAATGAAGTGGAGTTTTCAAGACGTTGCAGCGTCACTCAGTTGAAGGATGTCGTGGACTTCAAGCTTTGTTATAACCAAGCTTCGGGCACGGCAAGGCCCCACACGCGCTTAGAGACGGACATAAATACATAGGTACATACATACATAATTACTTACTTACTTGCTTGCTGACTTACTTACTTACTACATGTCCGTGTAAGTTGCTGTTCCGGAGTGGCTCTCAGCAGGGATCCTCTACATGGTTTTGTGCGGTGCACGCTGCTCCAGGTCCTCTCAGCAGCAGGGCCGTGTCTTGGCATGTGACGAAGCCGTTAGGGCGGTGCCTCTCGCTTTCAACATATACATATATATATATATGCACATACATACATACAGACATACATAGATAGAAAGTTTCGTGTGAGTACATATAGTTGCACATGTATATGCGTATATATGTATACATGAATCCATATGTGTCTTTCTTGTACTGTTTTGTCTTGTCGAAGAACAACCCAAGTTTAATTGTTCAGGCTCCCTCAGATCGCTGTTGGGGGTTCCCGATGTGGTTCCGAGGCTGCTAGCACCTTTTGATTTTGATTTGGTCCTGAACCATTGTTCCAGCTTTCAGCAACCTCTGGATCCTGAAACTTGTAGCTAACGCTGAAACCTTAAGCCCATCTGCGAATCTCGAAATGCTCTTTTGTAGAAGTGGACCCCAGGCGGGTTGGAAACACTTAGCTGCAGAGCTTGTACCTTAGACTCCTAACTCCTAGCTGCATATTTCGGACAGTCACTCACATCCAGCGGTCATGAGGATGACGAAAGGAGGCGGCATAACATCCAACATGTTGCAATGGGGGTCATTCCCATGCAGGTTTCTTCCCCTGCCCGCTGCCCATTCACAACTTTGTGCTGGCAACCTGGATGAATGAAACTTTCTGGGCCCCTGCGGAGACAGATCTCTACCTCCAAAGCGAGCCTCGACGGCATCGCGGCCGATTCATCGCCACAAAGACTGTTACTTTGCCCTAACCCCCCAGGTACCTACTATATAGGGCCCTAGGGGCTCTAGTACCCTACATAGTAGGTAACTGGGGGTTTAGGGTTGGATAGTCATAGTATGCTATGGTATAAATATGAGCCAACACCCCTATTCCAGTGATTGAGGCCCCAGTATTACCTTATAAGGTTGAGGCCAAGTGTGTGTACCCGCATACGCGAGCGGCTTGCGGGCTGCATGCCTACTGGGGCCTACTGTTTGGTACCCTAAACCCGAATCATGACAGGCAGATACACACCCGATCCACGAAGAGAAGCCCAAGTCGTCTAGAGCCATGTACACAGTCATTTACGTAGTTTCAGAAGTCACGTCCAGACGCACACGTGCATGCTCAAATACACTGCAATATAAACTGGCGAAAGATGGTGTGTAGTGGGTGTGGGGGTTTGTTTTGTTGATGGTGCTTATGATGTTTGGTGCTGATGGTTCTCTACCTTCTCGTTAACGGTGCGCTTGTGATTGCAGCCAACAGATTGCTTTGAACCCTAAACCCTAAACGCTGCCACTTATTCCAGGCTCGATGTAACTGAAGCGAGGCTGGAGTATTGGTCTGTCAGTTGGGTGAGAGCCGAGATTGAGTCGGACTGGCGTTCTGAGTGGAGTGCAACTTGAGCCTGAGATGTAGCTGGCATTTGTACTATGTTCAACACGGACTTGGTACTCACACTTCAGGTTGGAACTTTGGCTGAAGTCTGAAACAAGACCTGAAAGCCCAATTAGTGTGCCTTAAACTCTGAGGTATGCCTGCACAGTCACAGACCAGACATTACCCTGCAGCAAAAAACCCTGCCACCTTGTTCTTTGCAACTTCCCCATGGCTCGTCCGAGGAGTACGGATCAGAGCACCGTGGCGGAGTTGGGGTCCAAACTCGGGGATGGGCTTGGAATGACGAAAGGATAGTGTAGGGGCCTAAATAGTTACCTATACCATTGCGGGGGCTTCCATGTTATGATTATAGCATAATGGCCCCAAAACCCTATTCTAATATGTTCTGATTATTGAGGCCCCTATATTAAGCGGTGCCCTACGGTTGCTCAACTTTTGGTTCGATCTGGTAAGGGGCCCGAGACCTCGGCACGCAACAGCAAGTATACAGGGTGTGTTCCGGTCGTAAGCACTGTGTAGTTGTGTGTGTTGCCGCCTTGTTGTTGAGCGCTTCATGTTTGCACGATTTCTAGCGATACTTTCCACATCAGGGACTCGTTAGGAGGACATAGCAAGCCTGAAGCCTTCAGTGCCGAGTAAGCATCCGAACAATGGTCCAAAGCCTCGAGGAATTTCCAGAACATCCCAGAACCAAAGTCACATCGAGCCCCAAGAAGCAGTCGAAGGTTTGGAAGCTTTTTGGGGTCCAATTACCCATAGACCCCATAGTAGTTCCTTTTTGGGATTCCCTAATAGGATCCTAAACATAAGCCACAACAAGGAACTACTATGAAGCCTGTGGGTACCTTGACTCTGTCTTTTCCGTCCAGTTTGCCACTGCCGGATGCGGCCCCGCACCGTGGGTGCTCGGACAAACCGGTGGCTCCGTATGCCACGGCCCAAGTTCAAGACACGTGCACACCTGTTCATTGACATACATATATGATGTATGTTTGTATGCATGCATGTATGCAAGCATTTTTGTATGCACGTATGTACATATACGTCGTGAAATCGTACATACACTTCTCCATTTCGATACTTCAGTGTCAGGTGTTCCGATTGTTTGACAGCGATGTGCTGTTGCTCCCCTTTGCGATGGAGGTCTGCGATTGATTTCCTGAAGGTGTGGCGCGCTGTTCCACAGAGAAGCCCCCGTGCGTGTGTTACCTTGGCTTCCTAGTTTCTCCGGTTCCCACCTGCCCTTGGCCTGCCTAGGACTCCTACTTTTCAGGCCTGCCCGGCGGCATTGAGGCATTGGCGACGAATCACCAACACATGTTTCATGCGGTCCTGGATGCAACCATGTCTATAGGTCTACAACGCAAGTGAGAAGATAGCTACGGATAGAGGGAGAAGGTTCTTGCTTATCTGGCTGGGATATTCAGCTGGAGTTGGCTTGGCTCATTTGCGACTTCATCCCAGGTCTTGACGGTTTCATCTCGGAACGGGGTCTGAACTGTTGTGAGCGCCTGTTGAGATGCCGGGTACAGACGGTTTGCGGTTTAGGGCATTGCTTTCACCTGAGAATGGCGCGGTTGTCTTGCAATGACCATGTGACAACCAATTTGAGGTTATCACGTTTCTCCGTACTCCGCATTCCACAGCCCCAGCTACAATGCAGCCCCACCCACACGCCATCAAGAGCCCCGAGCGGCCCCAGCGACAATCGTTTGACTGGACAGGTAATGCAAAGGCAGCACATTGTCGAGAGCAAGCACGCCAAGCGGATCGCGAAGGCAGCTGTTCATGATCGGCGACCCTGACGCAATGAGTCAGTTTGGCAGACAGTACAAGAGGATTTTGAAATCCACGACGAGACACACCCACACACGAAAAAATACGCGCGCACGCACACACTCACAAATTCACAGTTGAATCTGAATGCTGATGCCGACTTATTCATGTCACATGGCCCACGACGGAAGCAGAAGCAGTGACACAGCAACCCGTCATACTACTATAGGGTAAGTATTAAGAATGCATGCCCGCGAGCACACAGTCCTGCGACACGCAGGCATGCAGTCAGACAAACACACAGACACGACAGACGCACACATCTGAAAGGCGGGCATTCATGCACAACCACGCCAACATTCGAAATCTTCCTTAAAATCCCGCATCAGCAAGACAAAGCCGCCCTTCAGCAAGCCAGGCAGCTGTGGCGGAAGAGATTCCCCGGTGATGCTTCCCTCTCAGAAATGGCCCCCTGGCAGTTTCCGCAAACGCCGCAAGCGACCAGAGTTCAATGCCGCTCGGCTTTGTGTTGCGGAAGGCTGCGCGGGTCTTGAGGGTTTGGTTTTAAGCGTTCAGGTCCCCAGGTCTCAAGCCTAATCCTAACCCTTAACCCTAACCCCCCAGGTGCCTACTATCTGGGGTACTAGAGGCCCTAGGGCCCTATATAGTAGGTACCTGGAGGGTTAGGGTTAAACCCTTTAAAGCCCGGGTTTAGGGCTTGAGCCGTTTCAACTTTGGGATCCGGTCGGAATTCGGGGTGGTCAGAACGACATTGCAGTGGAGTTGCAAGTCAACCCGGGACCGCGAAAACCGCAATCCTGTGGGAGCAAAACCCTACCTTAAACTACCCAAACCTGCTTTTTTGTAGGGTCCCTATGAATTCTATATTCGGGTTTATAATAAGGACCTTCAAAAAAGTAGGTTATGGTAGTTCAAGGTAAGCCAGAAGCCAGGAAAGACCACGTGAAACCTCTTGGAAGCAAGAAGTCATCAAAACAAGAAGACACCCCAACAACGTGAACACGCCTAAACCCTTAAAGCTGAAGGTTTAGGGGGCGGGTGGGAGAAAGCCCCTAAACCTTCAAACCCTTGGCAAGCCTCAGGGCCGAGACCACAGCTTGCGACTGCCGTGCTTCCGTCTCTGTCGGCATTGCTTGGTGTACTCGCGGCAGGGGACTCCCGGTTTTTATTGAGGCCTTCATAACTATAGAGTAGAGTAGAATCCTGTAGGGGATGCTTTGAGTGTTATTTTTAAGGGATGCTTTGGGGGGTTATTATAGTATAATAACCCCCCCAAAGCATCCCATTATACGGGTTCTGATATAATGTTGCACCCATTTTTACGGCGGCTTGAACGACATTATCCCCCCTGTGCTCCCAGACGTGCCGGTCCGGTGCCGTGGTACATAGGCACCCCTTGAAAAGTAGTATAGTAATGACAACCGCAGAGTAACTAGCATTCACAGTCGTATAGTCGTATTGTATGGTACAGTAGTCACAATGCTACAGTATAGTAGCACAGCACTAGTGATTACGGTACCGGCGGCGGCTGCGGCGGCGTGGGCTTAACTATCGGACGGATTAAACAGGTTCCGTTTATTTCCATAAAGAAATATTTGGGAAGGGGGACTGGGGGTGGTTGGTTCGATTCGGGTCCAGGTGAGCTCAACTATAAGGTAGTCGAGATTGAGCACTATCAGAGAGGAAAATCAAAAGATGCATAGGGCGAACGTCTGGCGCATGATAGACAAAGGACGGCCCAGGAACGTGCCAAATCCCGCACAAGCACCGAAAGAAAGCATAAAAGAGGGTCACCTAATTACACCCGGTGCCAAACTCTGGGGCCTTAACAAAATTGTCTTGAGGTATAGTTTGCTACGGCCCTCTTTTACTTTCCATCGCCTAAAAGTAGATGAGGGCTTTCTCTGAGCGTTGAGGGTTTGGAGCTGATGAGGATATCAGGTTAAGGATGAGAAGGGCCTTCGTCGAGGTTAGTGACCGCTGAGTCAGCGACGACATGTTAAGGGAAATCGCAACAAGCATGTGGTGCGATGAGCAGCGAACATCATCCAATCCTGCAGTGTGTTCAGCATCCAGGTTTCCTGGATCGACAAACGTACCCCAAAAGGAATTCGTAGAGATATTCGTGGTGTTAAACGATCTGACGGACGAGAACCTTATATACTCGAGAACTGCCAACGAAGCGCCATGCTGCGAGGAGGGATGTATTCAGGAACCCGTAAAAAAGTCAGGGATGTAGAATGTCTCGACTGCGACAGGATGGTGACGTTGTGCATGTAGTACAGGATGGGATCGGTTATGGTTACCCACAAGATCTCACGTGAGCTGTTGTCACACTCTACAGGACAAGTAAAACGACAGATGCTGGGCTTGCCACTGCAGAAACCGGGTTTCTTGAGCTTGTTTAGCGACATGCACGGGACACGGCGAGACCTCGATGTCACGAGCTGGCATCGAAGACGCAGGGTCCGACAGTCGGACAGGTTGCGCTCGCAGCTCCTCTGTTAGCTCGCGAAAGACCGTTGCTGCTCTCGGTTTGGCATGCTAGCTGGGATTTGTCGGCAAGACGAATTCCGGATAGTTATGTAGAAGCATGCTCGAAGCCGAGCGCCATGAAGAGCATACACCAACTGAGATCGACATGTCAAGAACGCCACAGACTCCAAGGTTCAATCTCTCCATGCGATGTCGACCCGGGAACATGCCCGATTAGCCTCCCGGACCGATGCATCATGCTATCTGGCTCTCTGCCTCAGGTATCCATCCGCACCATCTGGGCAAGCTCTAGCAGCAGTGGACTGTTGCAGCTGATCTGGCATCAGTCCTTCGACGGTGCTGCGCCCCTCGCTTGCACGCGGTGTCGACAGAGCTGGGTCCAGTTCAAGAAGTTCTTGACCAAACATGACGCGGCTGATCTCCACATGGAGTGGTAGCTCCATTGTTTCACAATCTCGATTCTTCAAGCAGTACGAATCCCACCCGGCAGGGAGGGACGAGGCCCAGTTTTCCCACACAGTGGATTTGAAGATTTCTTGGATGCCATGTCTATTGTATTGAAATACCTTTATCTATACTGCTGCCTTCTTCAGTGATGGACCACATGTTTGTCTTGCTTGTCATGAAGTATTGTGTGCAAAGCTAGGTTAAAGATTAAGAGCAATATTTCAGTATACTCCGTATTTCACTGTTTGGGCTTGGAGGAATGGAGGAGCGGGCGGGGGCCTCAATCCCGGACAGTTCCCCTCGATTCCCAGCCAGCGGTGGGCTAAGATCTGGATAGCGACTGCTCGACATATGGGCAGTTCTTGGCGCGTTTGAGTGCGAGCGCCAAGAACTGAATTACAATTTCGAAATTAACCCTAAACCCTAAACCCTAATGAAACCGAGAAGCCCTACTCGCCCTCCAAGGCTCAGCCTGTATGTGGCCCTGATCCTCGTGCTGGCCTTTCTGCAATCCCTGGCAGCTGCCAAAGGCAGAGCCCATGGAGAGAATATGGGGCCTAAACCCTTAACCCTGAGGCTGAAAAAAAAACAACCTGAGGCAAACATAGCCCAAATCTAACCCTAAACCCTAAATTCTGAGGCTTTAAAAGAAACCTGAGGCAAAAATAGCCCCAACTCCAACCCTAAACCCTAAACCAGAGCTATGGGGGGGGTTCTCGAACTGGGAGTTTCGGGGGTTCAGGATATGCATGAAATGAGGATCTTGCTGTTTCTGGGTTCCCTAGCCTCTGAAAAATTTGATGTGGCGTCTTTAGATGGCATCTTCTTAGAGGAACGCAAACACGAGTTTCCGAGGAAGATACCCAATAGAATTTCGATAGCATTAAGCTTTAAGCTAGAACTCAGTCCAAATTTCAGTGCATCGATCGGTCTCAGTTGTTTTCTGGTTGCGGGTCTAAACACTGTATCTGAGAAGGGCTCCTCTTGAATTTTTCACTTTATCTACATGCAGACACACACACACACACGGACAGACACAAGCAGCCATCCATCGCAAAAGATTATAATCCAAAGCCATACGGCTAACACCACCCCGTCACCCCGTCAGAAAAGCCGACCGCAAATAAGATAAACACTCCATAACCCCTACGCCCATCGGCAGCAGCACCCTATAGGGGCCATTTTACTTATGTTATACCCCTTGTCCAAAACCCCCCTACAATAAAACATGCAACATCCAAAGCCATTTGTCAAGAACGTAGAAAAGACAGGCGCCCCACAACACAACAACAAGCATCCAAAACCCTGAACAATCAAACCCCGCCCTAAACCCGCCGGATGCGAGTGGAAAAGGGCCGTGCGCAAAACAAACAAGCCTTACCCTAGGGCTCTAAGTATACAAATAGTACCTACTTTGAGATCTAAAGTCTGTAAATAGTACCTACATTGGGCTATTTGGAGCCCCAGGGTTAAACCCTAAGCCACAGGTTCTGAAGCTCTGGCAGCCGCCGTGCTGTTCGAAGCTGCGGAGCTGCTTCGGGCTGCAGGCATCAAACATCACGAGACACAATGTATCTATAGTATGCAATAAAAAAGTTAGAATGTACTTCAACATACAGGTTTTCTATGAGGTCCCTCTTTCGGTCAGGGTTCCAGAAGGATTTCTGCAAGGATTTAGGTTTTGAGGTGACGGGATACTGACATTTCAGAGAAGTTACCAGGCGGGGAGGGGGGGGGGGGGATATAGAAGCCTAAAAAATTACATATAATTACCAATGTTATTGTTAGGGTTCCTTGTGATAAATATACTATAAAGGGGCCCAAACCCTATTCTAATATCTAATTATTTTCCAGAACTTGGGGACCCTAATTTCGCTCCCAGTAGGATCCTGATTATAAGGACCCCAAAATACCCTAAACCCTAAACCTTAAACCCTAAACCCTAAACCCTAAACCTTCATTTTCGGAATCTCGCCTTAGGGGTTTAGGGTTGCAGGGCTATCGGGTGATCGGGCTTAGGATCTGTGGTTAATGAGTCAGTCGCACCAATCATTCGAGTCTCCAGGCCTGGCCCTTCTTAATATCTAACTAATACAGGGTCCTCAATACTAGTTGTGGGTTGTAATTAAAGTTTAAGATAACCCAGAACCTTTTTCTAGTTATTAAGTTTTGTTACACTCACTCTCTGTAGGAATATAGTTATAGCAGAACATAGCCCAAAGCCCTATCCAGTTTTTAAGCCCCTCTATTAATGTATGGCCACCGTAACTAAGTCTGGCAGGGAACTCAGCGGCTAGTTGATGATTGCTGTGAACCTACGCAAATATTGCTTCAGGGCATTGCAATTCTCTTAGCGGTCGAGCTTTGTTGAGGCATCGAAGCACGTGTAAGCGCAGTTTACATGGACACAAGCGCAAACGATGAAAGATCGAAGCTCCACTTGCAAGACACCCGAACATCCTGAACCCCGGGATCCTTATACACCTACCATCATACCCTAAACCCTAAACCCTAAAACCCTAAACCCTAAACCCTAAACCCACCATAGCCGGTCAATGGTGCCTGACTTGGGCAGTCCCGGAGAAGTCCGCCGAGCTGGGATCCAGTTGCATTGCATGCCACGTCCTAAACCCCAGACAGCTGCCGAACCTTGGGCCACTAGACCTTCTGCCAGACTTCCGCACCCATGAACCCTGACACTACCCGCACCCACGATCCTCCGTTGGAGTTTTGTGTTTGTAAACATTTTCATATATTCTGTTAGGTCATGTCTTATATTATCATACCGGATGAGATTCTAAAGCATAATTATAAACCCTTAACCCTAAACCCTATACTGTATGATGTTATATAATATAGCTTTACCTTCGACATGGGCCTGCACTCGATCGTTCCCGGGGTCTCGTCAGGCACCGCCTGGGCAGGTGGGCGGCTCTCCTTATGGAGGTCCCTGTGCACCTGCCAGCCGACGAGGTTGGGGGAGACCACCCCTTGGGGATTCATGGCTAGTTTAAGTAGGGGTACAGGTAGGATAACAAAAGCTATAAACAACCCAGAGTAGTGGACTTATGACCCCGCTGACAACTACCCATGAACCTCCAAGTTGGGATGTCTAGAGTCTCCTCTGAGGGTTCGGGGTTTGCTTCGCCGGTGCCGTCTCTGATCTCGCTCCTAAATACCTCCATGCATCTCAATGCTTCGAACTTGGAGCGTGCTCGAAAGCCGCCTCGCCTCCTTCTGTGCAGAGTTGGGCTTTCTCCTTCACCCTCCCCCGCGCGGAACCCGGCAAACTGTGAATTTCCCGATCTGGAGGCTGGGACGCGTTCCTGTGTGGATGCTCACCGCTCTCCCGGGCGTTGCCGGAGCAGTCAGGCTCTCGGCTGGGCCCTCCCGATAAGCCCGACGAGCAAGCGCGAAGCCAGCCTTCTTGGGTTTAAGTTTTGGGTTTAGGGTTTAGGGGTTTAGGGTTTAGGGTTGTATGTTGTTGGGCTCAGTACAGGAACATAAACACGGCGATGTATCAAGACTGCTTTCGAAGATTGTCAAGTTCTCGATGTTCTTATATGGCACTTCGTGCTGCAGTGCTGTGCGGTATGAACAAGATGACCCGTCAAGAGGAGCCAGAATCAAGTAGCTGACGTTCATCTGGTGAACTGCCCAAAATCATGCCGGGTTTCATTCTAATTCTTCAGGCCCTTCAGCTGACACACTTATAGTACCGCGTCTACTATACTGTTGATGAAGGTGTATTGGAGGACCCTTACTTTGAAGGAGCCCTTTTCTGCTACAGTTTCTTAAGCCCCTCCTTGCATTATTCTACCAGGCTACAACTACAAGGTTACTAGCATACAGTTACATGATGCAATAAGTTACGTGAGTTGTACATGATTGCTATACTATGCCCCAATCTCTGCTCAGTTGCCTGAAACGTGGACAGAGCTGAAACTGGTGGTGACGTGCTTGGGAGAACCTGCGTCTCAGGGTCAAAATCTGGTTTATGATGTTGCCCTCCGAGGTCAGCTGCTGGATCTCCTTTGTCAGCCTGTGTTGGCTGGATCCAGCAACTTACATCCTGCTGACTCAGGCAAGGCCTGTCAGCCGGGGCTTCGACTAATTACTCGCGATCGATGGTGAAGCATACACCATGCGCCTGCTGTTGGACGTACCAATCTGCATTCTGCACACCCTCATGCCCGAAAAGTTGTCACATTCAGGATGCACGTTGCTTAGCTCGAGCATAAATCTCAACAGTCTAGTAACCCCAATAGCACTGCAAACCCCTAGAGTGTCCAACTCCCATGAACCCCACAAAAAACCTCTTTAACACCCCAACTCTGAGCATCCTAGTAACCTTAAACCACTCTCCATCATGGACTGTATCCCTCAAACCCCCAATAGCTTGCATCTCAAAAGCCTATCGACCCTAAAACACTCAAAGAAGACCCTTGTGTCTCACCTGATAATACAAAAACACCTCTCCAAACCCCTGAACCTCAAAACTCTCATGACGCTAAAACCACTCTAAGCCCCCCCCAATCTCAGAACCCTACTAACTCCACAAAACCCACTGTAAATGGTCCTCAGAGAATCTCAAGATCTGGCGCAGGCTTCCCTCTTGCTCGTGGAAGTGCCGGGGCACTGCTCCGATGCATTTCGAAACTTACCGGAGCTGGGGCGGGTTTAGGGTTTAGGGTTTAGGGTTTAGGGTTGGGTGTACCCATACCCAGACCCCCCAAAAGGATCTATAAAATAGATCCCCTAACTAGGGACCCTAACTACTAAAGGGTACTTTATAGGAACCCCCTTAAAGGATCTATTTTTTAGATCTTTTTGGGGGTCTGGGTAGGCCCCTTAGTAGTTCCTTTTTGTGGCTTCTATTAAGGATCCTACTAGGGAATCCCGAAAAGGAACTACTAAGGGGCCTACGGGTAGTCTCTTTTTTGTAGGCGTCTTGTTTTGTTGGAGAGGCCGGGGGGTTGAGGCTCTGGGCGCGAAGTTTTTGCTACAGACGGTCCTACGTCGAGTCCGGGCCTTGTCGGAGGCCAGCTGGACCTAGACAAGCCTGAACCCAATCAAAGACAAGAATCCTACGATCCTTGTTATCGAAGGAAAAAAGCTCGTCAAACACAAAAGAACCCTAAACCTTAAATGCCCTGGGCAGAAGACCCTAGAGCGATTTTTGTCAGGATCTTGGAGATCTGCTTGCGGAGCTGCACTTGTCGCTTGCGCCTTCATGCTGAAAGCTTCGAAGGCCGGACGCCGGTTAGAATCTTTAAGCTTCGTGAACATTAGGGTCAGGGTTTAGGGTTTAGGGAGAGCGGCTCGTAGAGGGCGGCTTCTAATTGGTTCCTGTTGAAGTCTGCTTGAAGCATCGTTTTTTTTGCAGTGGCGAGGGCTTTTGCTTCCATGGGCGACCATCATAGCCGTCAAAACCCTAGACTTCCAACTACCGATCTATTACTAGACGACAACTTGGCAAACGCCGGGCTTCCCTTATGGTCAGAAAGGAGCTGCCTGTTCATACTCATAAACAGTGTTGCCCGGATACCTACTAGCAATATAGGGGGTCTGATTATTTTCGAAATGACATGTCCTTTTACTCCTGAAAATCGTAATCACCAAGGCCCCTGTAGCTGCTCTTGTAAACCCCGAAGAAGTGCCCAGTTCTCCGAATTTGAGCGGCCCCTTGCTACCAAGTCCCCGAAGTTGGACTTCGTCCCTCGGTTAAGGTCTAAGGTTCTCCTAAGCCCTACCTATAGTAATTTTAAGGATCCTAAAAGGTAACCCCAAAAGGGAACTACAATGGAGACTATAGGTAAGCCCTGGAAGGAAAGGAGGTTTCAAAGACAAAACCCTAATTTTCGTACCCTAAACCCTAAACCCTAAACCGAGGCCTTAGGCTTCACTTCGAAGGGAGCCGTAGGAAGCCATGGAGACTGAAACCTGCCATCGGCGACCCCTAAGTAATTTAGCTGCTTCTTTCCGTCGCGGCAGAAGGGCCCCAGACAGCAGGAGAGATGATGCTCGGGTTTAGGGTTTAGGGTTTAGGGCTGCATTTTGGCATCGCATACCCTGTGCTCACATCGACTCGTTCACCGAGCCTCATGAACCCCAAACCCCCAAAGCTTACACCCTGAGTCGGATAGCCCTAGACCTAGACCCTATGAAACCCTGAAGTCGGACGTCCTACAAACTACAACCCCACACTCTATGTGTCCATAGGGCGGGTAGGAAAAATATGTCTGTATGACCTGTCTAAACCTAAACCCTACAAGCTAAGCAACTGAGAGCCTCCCCCAAAGCCAGGCACTTGAGACTGCAGATGCCGCGCTGGGCCGGGGTCTTCTTTGTGCTCTCTTCCAGGCTCGTGCGGGCAGTTTGGGGAATGGGCGACCTAAAGACCCCAAGCAATCTAATGTAGGAGTCTAGCTACTTAGTGACGGTGTCCCCTTATGGTGGTCATGATTGTTCTGGTATCCAGGGTACCCCATACCTTCAAGAGTCTCTTCTAACTAGGCCGAATGCTGGTCGGAGGGCCCTGAATACAAGAAAACCCTAAAAATAGGGCTGTGACCCTAGGCCCTAGGCTTCCAGGGTTTCGGGCCTTGGGATACTCCAGGGACACAGAGCCGCACGAAAGAGGTGTTTATCAAAGGCCATCCTGCTCTAAGGTTCACCAAGTACCTATAGTCTCCATTGTAGTTCCTTTCTTTGGTTGAACCAAATATATATTAAGGATTTTACACGGTATCCCCAAAAAGGAACTGCAGTGGAGACTATAGGTACGTTTGCTACAAGAGTGACAAGGGATACGATACGAGGTTCGATAGATATTTTCGATCTACCCTCCCCCAAGATTTCCGAGATTCTGATGAATGTTCGAGCTTGTTATGATTCTGGTGATCATGATTATTATTGATGTTAAATAGTGCTAGCCCTACATATTCCTACACCTACAAGCCTGCTGAGAGGTCTGATCTGCCCCGCCTTGGTGCCAAAAAGCGGTCCCGAGCTAAACCTCGACCTAACTACTCACCCTCACCCCAAATTTCATGAGGCCCTTTAACCCCCATGCACCAGCTGGAGTATGTGAGCAGTGACAGCTGAGAGAGGTCTGTTCTTGTTGGCTTCACCAGGCTAATGAGACTCTGCAGCGGAAATCGTGTGGAAAGAGGCCCTGAACAAAAACGCCTCGACCCACGAATCGGAAACCTCAACCGTGGCGCAGTTTCCGGAAAGGTGCCACTGCATGCCATGGCTGCAGCACCCTTGCCCAAGGCTGCAGATTTCTGAGAGCCTGCGAGCGACTTCTGGACTTGGGGTCACGGGGTTGAGACGTAGGGTAAAGAGTTCATGTAGCCCCAAGATCGCAATCGGCTATGGCCCAAAGCCCTAGCACAGTGTTCAGGCCTATCCGATCGGGGTTGATACTGAATATGATACAACAGAATCGATAACTTTTGGAAAATGCAATATAGTAAAGTAGTAATTGCAATACGCTCTGATATCATGAACTTTATCGTATGTGAACCGAGTATAACACCATGCCACGAAATAGAACACGATATAATGAAAGCAAGTATATTACATTAACAGAGGTTATCAGCATATGATGCAATATAACATAGCATGACATAGCAATTCAGGACATGATTTCAGTGTAATGCTTTTTGAAATGGCATCTAACGTGCTGGGCGACACACGCCAACTTGGCGGGGGTTACCATGGGGGCGGGGGAGGGGGGGGGGGCCCGGGGCCCGAGAGCATATATATATATATATATATACACTTTAGGGTTTAGGGTTTAGGGTTTAGGGTTTAGGGTTTAGGGTATATATATATGTGTGTGTATGCATACATACTTACATACATATGTAGATCTACGCACAGCATAGCAGACTTTGTTAATGTAACATAGCTTAGCATCGTGTGTTTCTGCATGTTTTTTTAATAATACAGCATGGCATAATTTAAGATAGTCTACTCTGACAAAATACAAGGTTTCATTTTATTGTGTATGTTATATTCCGTTCTATTCCACTCTATTCCTTGCTACCGTTCTATTCTATTCTACTTTATTCTATTCTTTATACTAAACTATCAGAAGTTAAAATACAATACAGTATGTAATATGCTATGTTGAATATGGCAGTATATGTAAGATGAGTTTTGCAGTATACTAGTCGACTAGTACACGAATACCAGATGATGGAATACATTATAGCACAATGTAAGGTCATATAATATGGCTTGCTGTAATCTACTTCCGAATATAGGGCTATTATAGTATGGTACAACATAGCGTATTGTTTAGGATATAGTATGACATGTCATACAATGCAACATACAGCAACTACACCTTAGACTGTAACATGGAGTACAATAGACCAACATAGTTATTGTTTTTGTGCCACTTCTAGTGTACTATTGCAGGCCGCCCCCTCGATGACTGTATGGTGGTGGGTTGAGGTTGATTCTCGTTTGCTTTCGTTTGCGAGGCTCCGTGCTCCAAACACCGAGTAAAAAGTCTTGTTTTGGGTGAAGTCCGGGTTTCTTGGGCTTCTCGGCATCTCTGTCAAGAGGTCGACGCGCCTTGGGAGCTCCTTTCCGCCAGCCGGCATGCACAGGGACCACATGAGCCCAGGGGTTTGAGTCGCGGCGCTTTTGCTGGATTTGCGCTTGAAGCTCCTGTTCCAATCTAGTTCTGTTGGAGTTTGCTTTGGGAGTTCTTGACAGATTTAACCTGCCGGTGTTTTGCCCAGAACCTTGACCCTTTCGTCAAAAGTGAGTTGCCACACAACATGCCTAACTGTGTTCCTGTTCGGGAGTCAGATTCGGAGACTAACCGGCGCTGTTGAGGTCCACGAGAACCAGAGTCCACACCCCACGCATGCTCGAACCCAAGAACCCTTCAGGTTTAGGGTTTAGGGGTGTAGGGGTGTAGGGTTTAGGGTTTTAGGGTTTAGGGTTTATAGGGCTCATACGATGAAAAAGACCCGCAACATGCTTCCGCAGGACTGCTTCTCTTGGTGGCCTTGCTGTCCGGCTTCACCCCTCGGCCATATGCTTCTTCTTTGGATGCCATGGCTCAGGCTCAGGGTCTAGGTAGGGTCGGTTTAGATTTTAGGGCAGCTGGGTATGCCCAGCTGATAGCAAAGGGCCTGGGTTTCAAAAAAGGGTCCCGGGGTATACAGGCCATCTTCGTCCCTCGACCCGTAGCTCTCTCTCTCTCTGTCTCTCTCGTGTCGACACACTACATGTATGAAGTGCTGGAGGCTGGCTGACATGCTTCTGTTGGTACAGATCAAGCATGCTCTGGAGGGTGTGTTTCTGTGATGTGAACAGTCACCCTTATGTGCTCATCTGCACATACACACCTCAGTACGTACGACAGAAATGTGCATGTCGATGCTTAAAGTTTGCAAAGACTTTGACTCTGTTCTTTGCCGAGAAGGAACACACTTTTGCGCTTCTGGCTACAGGCATGCAACCGAAAATCGAGCAGAAGGTTCACTGTTTGGAGGCATAAGGGCGTGGCACTAACTCGCGTAAGAACACCGTATGAAAGTGGCCGTGTCTTGCGAATCCCCAAAAAAAAAACGCTGGCCCACCTACCCGGCCCAGAACCTCGCTAAAGTAGCGGTTCAGCTTGGCATAACGGATGTGCAGATGTGCCATTCGCGCCAGGTCTTCAGAAGCCAATGGCTGTTGTGTGCCGTGGGCTTCCTGTGACGTGGATGCAGTATTTGGATGTGGGACTTGTCAAGACATCAGGAGACTTTTGCAGAGCTCCCCAAGTCCTGCCCTACGCTCCTCACGAAGAAGCCTCTCAAAGCGTTAGGGCCGTTAGGGGTGTCAGGATCGGGTTTGAGACATGGCATAAGTCAGGGCTGTACTGATATTCTAAGCTGCTACCTGGCTATATAAGGGGTTTATAAGGACTATACAATGGCCATTTAAGGTAATGGGATTAAGGGTCCCTATTAGGGGTCCTTCCTAAAGTCCTTAGATGTACTGCTATTCCAAGCTACAGGCTGGCGACCTCCGCAATCAAGGAGGTCTTGCTCCCACGAATTTCCCCGCCAATGAGGGAACTCGGACACTCGACCGAATCGCCAGAGATGGCAGTGGTACTAGTATGGGATCCAGGTCGAGGGTTTGGGTTGGGACTTTGCATCTGTGTCAGGGATGTAAATGAGATTGGGGTATATATATATATATACACATATATATATATATATATACATATAGATATATACATATAGATATATAGATATATATATAAAGAGAGAGAGAGATTAATATGTTTATGCTTGTA